CATGAAAGAGCACTGGCAATCAGATTATCTTTGCCACGTATATGTTTGATCTGTAGGTGGAAAGATTGTAAAATAAGACTCCATCTCATAATTCTTTGGTTTTTACCACGCATTCGGCCCAAGAAGGTCAAAGAGTTGTGATCAGTGTACACAATAATGGGTCCACAAATTTAGCTCAAATAAACCTCAAAAGGTTGAACAGCCAATACAAGAGCTAAAGCCTCTTTTTCAATGGTGGAATAAGCCTGTTGATGGCAATAATTTTTTTATTTTTTTTTTAAATAGCTAACCAGATGTTCAATTCCATCAGCATCTTTTTGTAAAAGAACAGCACCACAAGCACTGGCATCCACTACGAGAAGAAAACGTTTCTGGAAATTAGGTGCAACCAATACAGGAGCGTTAGCCAAGAGAGTTTAGCATTATGGGAATAAGCCTGTTGATGGCAATAATTTTTGTATTTTTTTTTTAAACAGCTAACCAGATGTTCAATTCCATCAGCATCTTTTTGTAAAAGAACAGCACCACAAGCACTACCACATCCACTACGAGAAGAAAACGTTTCTGGAAATTAGGTGCAACCAATACAGGAGCGTTAGCCAAGAGAGTTTAGCATTATCAAAGGCATACCGACATTGACCAGATAAATGGTTTCTTTGGACTCAACAAATAAAAGCAGTCAACTACACTTGCAAAATTCTGACAAAACCCTCGACAATAACCTACTATTCCTAAGAATCGATGGAGTTCACGACGGGTAGCAGGTGTAAGGAATTTTCCAATAGCATCAACTGCAGCATCACTGGGTTTTACGCAACCCTGACCCACCACCTTAACCAGATAGGTTACAGTAGCTTTTCCAAAGTCACATTTGGCAAGGTTGATGGTTAGATTGGCTTCGGCCAGATGTACAAAAAGCTCTCGAATTTGGTCAAGATGTTCAGATCAAAAAGAACTAAACAAATCAACATCGTCTAAGTAAGCCTCGCATCTCGACAATCCATACAGTTCTTGATTTACCATCCGTTTAAATGTAGCGGGAGTGTTTCGAACCCCAAAAGGCATGACAGTGTACTGCAGGAAGCTATTGGGTGTAAAAAAAAGCGGACAGTTCCTTAGCACGAGATGTCAAGGGCACTTACCAATAACCTTTCAGAAGATCGAATTTACTGACAAACTCTGCAGAGCCAACACGAGCAGCACAATCATAAATTCTGGTTAAGGAATAAAAATCAGGTTTTGTATGGGAATTAAGCTTCCTGTAGCCTGTACAAAAACGATATGAATTATCGGACTTACTCACCAAGATGCATGGCAGAACCCAGCAATAGTTCTTGGAGTTCTCCAATTATGGGCGAGTAAATAATCCACTTCTTTCTGAAGTAGTTCCCTTTTTATGGGGTTGACCTGATGTAGCAAATCAGCTCAAAAGGGAAATGTATATTTATGATTAATTACAATTATTTATATCAACTGCCAGTAGTAACTGTAGCAGAATTAAATTGCCCTCATTCAGTGTACATTCATATCAACTCTAGGAAAAGTTATTTTCGTGGCCACAGAAAATACTTTCATACAGTATTAATGCATTAGAGCATGTAGAAAAATTGGAATCGTAAAGGGACATTAATTTGCAAGGCAGAATCAGAAACTCATGTAATTTGTGCACAAGAGTTTTATTAAAGGTCCCATGACATGCTGCTTTTTAGATGCTTTTATATAGGCCTAAGTGGTCCCTAGTACTGTATCTGAAGTCTCTTTCCCAAAATTCAGCCTTGGTGCAGAATTTCAGCCACTACGAGCCAGTCCCACAATGAGCTTTCCTTAGGACGTGCCATTTCTGTGTCTGTAGCTTTAAATGCTAATGAGGAGGAGAGAGGCGGGGCAACTGCCATGCTTCGCTCGTTTGCAAGCCATGAGGTCTCTCGAGGAAAATTGGGAGTTTCTTCCCAGTGGAAAGTGAAAAAGAGCTAAGAGATACATCAGCCGAGATCCTAGGATCTTTGGTGAATGGAGAGTCAAGGCCCGAGGCCTGGCGCAGACTTAGGGTGTCCTTAGAGGATTTTAGCTCACATCCTCATCTTCTCAGAATCTAACAGAACCGCAGACTGGAGGCGGGTCACTGATGTGAGGCCTTCATAACACACACACAAAACAGTATACAATTCAAAAGGCAATATACGAGAACAGTAATGGTATACACAATGTCCTGAGAAGATGTGTGTTCATTCACAGAAAGGTTTTCCTATGAATTAATTATAGAAGAGTCCATTTTGCTGTGCATTATGTGTCTTTTCTATGGAAAATATAGTGGGAGGGAGAACTCTCAACATGCCATTAGGTCGTAAAGTCTATCTGGTCTAGCAAAGGTGTCATGGTTGCCATGGTAACCAGGGTCCTGGGCCTCGTTCACAGACATCTTGGCACCCAGTATGTTTATTGGGTGAGGGGTCTGTGAATGTTTGTTAATCTAATGAATAATTGATTTGTTAAATCAAATGCAAAATGGTGTGTCTGATTGGTCCAGACGCTACACTGATACGGATGTTGTTTTACAGGTTGAGCTGTTCCAATGTTAATGTCATGCTCAATGACATGAGTTCGAGTAGGGACATCAGATGATGACAAATGATGAGTAAGATTAGCAAAGATTTCAGAATTGTTAAGTCTTCCTTCCACTACTTCTCGAGAAGATCCCTTAATTTCCCCTGTATCTACTGGACCCAAATTCTCACCGTTTCTTCAGATACTTCTGAAGTGCCCTGACCAACAGATAAAGTAGTTGATACAATATCAACAGACAAAGAGGTTACAGGAGTGAGGAGTCACATAAGATTTTAATAAATTAATATGACAAACCTGTAATTTCTTCCAGTGATCAGGCGTATTTACTAAATAGTTGTTATTGGGAAAACATTTTGCAACCCTATAAGGTCCAGTAAATCTAGCCTGGAAAGGACTAGTCAAAATGGGTAATAAAGCCAACACTTTGTCACCTACTTGAAATTCTCTGAATTTAACCTTGCAGTCGAACAATCTCCGCATCTTCTCTTGAGATTTACCTAATTTTCATTGTCTCCACTTTATAGTGTCACTCAAAGAACAAACATCATCATGGCCATCACAATGAAATGGATTTTCAGATATGGAACCAGACTTTTACACCTTGCCGTCAACAACAGGCTGTAGATATAGACATAGAACTATTAGCTTCAATATTAGTGACCACAACACTACATTCTGGCTGGGAGGAATTCACAGAAGAAAAAAAAGTATCACTAAGAACTTTCCTTTTCATCCAATATCATCATCTTAGCCTTGGCTCGAGTGATCGCACAAGCAGGGAATAAGTTAGGACAGTTAGAGGAGTCATCCATTTTCTTTACAATAGAAACTACTATTGTTTCTACTATCTGGCTTTTCCCACACATTTTCTCCTGCTAAATTGTTGCCAAGTATAAAGGTGACACCAGGAACAGGTAGCACTGCACGAACTTCAACGACAACATTACCTGACACAAGTTTTGAGGTGAGATGTATACGGTGTAAAGGAACTTCTACAAAACCCCATCTCAAACCCTCACACCAGTATGCGGGTTCCAGTAGCAGTACTATCAGAAAAAGGCAGGTGTCCTTCCAGTAAAAAGGACTGCGTGGCCCCAGTATCTCGAAGGATACAAACAGGAACATTCTTCTCGGAGCCAGGCAAAGACACAGTCCCCTATGTATGAAATGGTGCATAATCACTATGACTCTTCGCATTCTCAATCTCCACCTCAGAGATATCCCTCTACTTGTTTTGTTTTTGTACAACTTGGACAGGACTATGGTTCTCACATGATGAAAAGAATAAACCAACAGTTTTAGCAGATTTCTCTTTCTTTTTAAGAACTGTATAATCACAAATGTTATGTCCTGCCCTTTTACAATAGAAGCACACAATCTCTCCTTTCATGCGTGCATTAGCGACAGCATGTTCAGTAGAAGAACTAGAAACAACATTCTGACGTACTACAGTCACTTTGCTCTTATTTAAAACACTCATCTTAGGTCTAACATTATAAGAATCATTTAAATGGCTAGTCGAACCTCGGTGAGTAAGGACGAATTCATCAGCCATGAGAGCAGCATCTGACAATTTACTCACCTTATGCTCATTTAAATACATCGCAACAGCATTCGGTACGCAATTTTTCAACTCTTCCAAAAGAATCAACTCCCTGAGCTGTTCTTTAGTAGTTACTTTCATTGAGGTACACCAACGATCAAACATGTTCTCTCTTTCTCTGGATAATTCAAGATAAGTGCTCTTCTCAGGTTTTAAAAAATTCTACATTTCTGGCGATATGCCTCAGGTGCTAATTCATACGCTTGCAATAATGCAGTTTCAACGGTTTTATAATCACTGCTTTGCTCAACAGTCAGCGCTGAATGCACATCCTGTGCTCTCCCTGTTAACACACATTGAAGCAATAATGTCCAAAATTCTCTGGGCCACTTGTGACTCAGCGACACGTTCAAAATGAGAAAAATATACGTTTGTTTCAATGTACTTATAGAGTGAAATTCTACATTCCTTTTTTGTAAACCATTCTTATCTTAATGTCATGTCTTGTTACCACAGTAACCAGAGGGTGTTAGTTTGGGGGTAGTTCACATAACTCTTAACATATAGTTTGCTTGTTGGGTGAGGATAATAATCTTCTAATATTTTATACCAGGGATGTCTAATTCAGTTCCTGGAGGGCCACAACACTGCAGAGTTTAGCTTCAACTCTAATTAAGCACACCTCAGTCAAGGTCTTCATTACTTGAAAACTAAAGGTAGGTTTGCAGCAGGTTGGAGCTGAACTATGCAGGACTGTGACCCTCTAGTTGCTGAGTTTGACGCTTCTTTTTTTTTTTTTTAGAAATAAATGGCAGATTTGGCCATTATTGATTTCTCTTCTACTGTTGCTTTTAAGTGGGTGTTAACTTGTATTTATCTCTTTTCACCCAAGATCTGAAAGAAGAGAGTGAAGAACTGAATGAAATACAAGACAAAGATCAGTTTAAGAAACATGATTTCGTAACTGCAATCTGTGAGCAACTATATGATTTTTGTCCAAAGACTTTGACACGAAAAAGGGCTCAAAATACTGGAACTAGATGTCATTTCACCTGCCAACAATATGAAAAGAGTTTTGATCAACGTGGAAAACTTCAAGTCCACATGAGAATTCACACCGGAGAGAAGCCTTACTCCTGCAAACTGTGTGGAAATAGTTTCCCTAAAAAGGGAAACCTTAAAAGGCACATGATAGTTCACACTGGAGAGAAGCCTTTCACCTGCCCTCAATGTGGAAAGAATTTTACACATAAAAACACTCTTAATGACCACATAAGAATTCACACTGGAGAGAAGCCTTTCACCTGCCAACAGTGTGGAAAGAGTTTCATTCAAAAAAGATACCTTAAAAACCACATGGTAATTCACACGGGAGAGAAGCCTTTCACATGCCCTCAGTGTGGAAACAGTTTTACTCAACAAGGAAACTTTAAAAGGCACATGAGGATTCACACTGGAGAGAAGCCGTTCACATGTTTTCAGTGTGGAATCAGTTTCACTCAGCAAAGAAGCTTAAACAAGCACATGAGAATTCACACCAGAGAGAAGCCTTACACCTGCCCTCAGTGTGGAAAGAGTTTCATTCAAAAAAGATACCTTAAAAACCACATGACAATTCACACGGGAGAGAAGCCTTTCACATGCCCTCAGTGTGGAAACAGTTTTACTCAACAAGGAAACTTTAAAAGGCACATGAGGATTCACACTGGAGAGAAGCCGTTCACATGTTTTCAGTGTGGAATCAGTTTCACTCAGCAAAGAAGCTTAAACAAGCACATGAGAATTCACACCAGAGAGAAGCCTTACACCTGCCCTCAGTGTGGAAAGAGTTTCATTCAAAAAAGATACCTTAAAAACCACATGACAATTCACACGGGAGAGAAGCCTTTCACATGCCCTCAGTGTGGAAACAGTTTTACTCAACAAGGAAACTTTAAAAGGCACATGAGGATTCACACTGGAGAGAAGCCGTTCACATGTTTTCAGTGTGGAATCAGTTTCACTCAGCAAAGAAGCTTAAACAAGCACATGAGAATTCACACCAGAGAGAAGCCTTTCACCTGCCAACAGTGTGGAAATAGTTTCAATGAAAAAGGAATCCTTAAAACGCACATGAGGATTCACACCGGTGAGAAGCCTTGCACATGCCCTTAGTGTGGAAACTGTTTTACTCAACAAGGAAGCTTTAACAGGCACATGAGGATTCACTCTGGAGAGAAGCATTAAATTCCCACAAAGTGTGTGGAAGAACTTCTGAACAAAACTAAACCTTTTCACATATCGCATGAACAGTTACACTAATGAGAAGCTGTTTACATTTGATTAGTGTGGACAAAAATTCAGAAATCAAGCAACCCTTAATAAGCACGAGACTTCACGCTGGAGAGAGACCTTTCACGTGTCTGTATGAAATGTGTTTCACAAATCAGAAAGACCTCAAACATCATTTACCAACTCTTTTCTGGAAAGCCATTGCCACGCTCCTCAGTGTGACGAGAGGTTTACAAAACGGAGCTATTTCAGAAATGACCTGCACATTCACTCTGGAAGAAGGCGATTTAATTATGATACGTGTAATAAAAGTTTATTTTGCCATCACACAAATACACCTGAAAAGCATATGTGAGATCCTATTTGTTCTTTGTGTGGAAAGAGTTTTAAATAGATCTGCAATATAAACTGGCACTAGATCAAAGTATTGATACACAGAAATTTTGGCGACCAAATTAGCAAAAGTCCTTTTGGAGGGCTGAAATCATTAACTGAAACAGTAACAATTCATTAGTTATTTGTCACGATTAGTCTTGGTTTTGGTGTCATTTTCATGGGCTTTTAGTTTTGTTGTAAGGCTGGGATGATACGCTTATCTCAGAAAACAGTACTATCACAATACTTGGGTGCTGAATTGATTTGTATTCTATCCTATATATGAATTATACAATTATTGCAATATATTGTGATTTTTGTTTGCTTTTTTTTTAACACTAGTCCATGGGGAAAAGTTGAATCTTACAGACCGTTTGTGATGTAAAAGATACGCTTTAATAGGCACAGTTTGATACTCCTTTGTAGAAATAAATGGCAGATTTAGGCATTATTGATTTCTGTTCTACTGTTGCTTTTAAATGGGTGTTAACTTGTAGTTGTCTCTTTTCACCCTAGACCTGAAAGAGGAGCGTGAAGAACTGAATAAAATGCAAGATAAGGATCAGTATAAGAAACATCATTTCATGCCCGGACAAAAATCATTTAGTTGCTCACAGACTGCAAAGACTTCTTCACAAAAAATAGTTCAGAAGGCCAGATCTAGAAGTAATTTCACCTGCCAAGAGTGTGGAAAGAGTTTTGACCATCAAGGAAAACTGAAAGTCCACAAGAGGATTCACACTGGAGAAAAGCCTTACAGCTGCCAACAGTGTGGAAAGAGTTTCAATGAACATGGAAACCTTAAAGTCCACATGAGGATTCACACCGAGGAGAAGCCTTACACCTGCCTTCAATGTGGAAAGAGTTTTTCTCATAAAAGCGCTTTGAATGTCCACATGACAGTTCACACTGGAGAGAAGCCTTACACCTGTAAACTGTGTGGAAATAGTTTCCCTAAACAGGGAAACCTTAAAAGGCACATGGTAGTTCACACTGGAGAGAAGCCTTACACCTGCCCTCAGTGTGGAAAGAGTTTTACTCAACAAGGAAACTTTAACAGGCACAAGAGAGTTCACACTGGAGAGAAGCCGTTCACATGTGTTCAGTGTGGAAACAGTTTCACACGACAAACAAGCTTTAACAGGCACCTGAGAATTCACACCAGAGAGAAGCATTAAACCTGCGAACTGTGTGGAAGAAGTTCACGACAAAACTCAACCTTAGCTATCACATGAACAGTCACACTAGTGAGAAGCTGTTTACATGTGATCAGTGGAAAGAGCTTCAGACATGAAGCAACCCTTAATAATCACGAGGCTTCATGCTGGAGAGAGACCTTTCACGTGTCTTCAGTGAGAAATGTGTTTCATATATCAAAAAGACCTCAAACATCATTGTGGCAAACAGTGCAGGGGCCGAGAGCTGTGGGAACGGAGCGAGTTTCATGGAAGGAGATCCGGAAGCATAAAAGGAGGAGTGATGACAGTCCATGACGAGAGAGGACAGGCCTGGACATTGTTATGCTTTATTACGTTTTTATGTGGTGGTCGTCCGTGAGGGGCTGAATCAGACACTAAAGACTTAATCCGAATTGTGTCAAAACAGCGCAAAGAACCAAAACAACCAAAAAGGCCATGAGTCTCACACTGGACGACCATAAAACTGAGACCTGTCAGTTGGCACCACAAAGCCTGAGCTAACTAGTTACTCATCTATGGACGACTGAATAAACTAGATGACTGTATTAAAAGAACTCCTCCAGCGTTGTCAACTTTAGGCAGTTAACCCAAGATAAATGGGTCTGGAGACACACATTCTGAATCTCACAGGGAAAATTATAAGGCAAAAGTGGGATTTCCCTCACTCAAGATAAAGAGCTAAAGCCAGACTCCCTTTGACCTTTTCCTTCCTTGCATGACTGGAATCCTCTCTAAAACCCACAGAGACTGTCTTTACATATATAAAATAAAATGCTTCAGATCATTCCAAAATGAGGCTAAGAGGACTTAACTCCATATCATGTCACCCACATAATATGCTTTGAACCCAAGATTAATGCCATTATGAATAACTATTGAATCATTTACAGTGAGTATGTGGTTCTGGCATGATGTGAATGAAAATTATTTTTCCAAATGTTGATATCACTTAATTCTTGGTAAAAGCGTATCATATAATTTAGACTTGATTACTATAATGAGAATATTTCACAAGAGTGGGAAAACTAGGAACCATGTGAGTAAGAAGATAATGTTTTGATTTATATGAGGGGAGGAGAAACTCATGATGAACAAAAGCTGTCTGCCTCCTGTTTGCCTTGCCTTCACTATGTTCACACTGCTTGCCTGCTCGTGACCTGCTGCAAATCTACCATCATAAAGAAACCATCTAGTCTTGCCTTTTTTTTTTCTTTCTTTCTTTTACTTTGTTTCTTTTCTGGCGAGAGTCTCGTTTTCTAATTAGGGTTTGCTGCAAAGCCGTGTCTCTTACTTTGTCTTTGCCCGCCTCAAACTTTGACCAGCCTGCAGGACTCCACTTCCATCTTTCAGTCAACACCCATAGCCTCATTGAAAGCTCAATGTGAGGGTTAAATTAATGATTGACGAAAATTGCATACATGGCTAGAAACTTGGGATTTCTTACTCTTAAAGCTCATTCTTTCCTCACTTTCTTTCTGCAACTTAGGTGAATGTGTGAGTGTGTGTTTATGTGTTAGATTAGTTAACATCTATTAGAGTTGTTCAGTAGTCTTGTTTATATTTAAAAAGAACTATCTTGTGATTTGTGCTTTCAAGTTAATGTTTTAAACTGCCGATCTTGTAACTGTTCTAATAAATAATGGTTTCACTATACTTTGGATATTAAAGGGGTCATATGACGTTGCTAAAAATAACATTATTTGGTGTATTTGGTGTAATGCAATGTGTTTATGCGGTTTAAGGTTAAAAAAACACATTATTTTCCACATAATGTACATTATTGTTTCTCCTCTATGCCCCGCCTTTCTGAAACACGTAGATTTTTACAAAGCTCATCGGTCTGAAAAGCGAGGTGTACACTGATTGGCCAGCTATCCAGTGCGTTGTGATTGGCCAAATACCTCAAGCGTGTGATGGATAACCATAACCGATTATAACGTACTGATGCTTTTCTGACATAATTTCTCGCATACGCAGTGTTGGGAAGGTTACTTTGGAAATGTAATAGGTTACAGATTACAAGTTACCCTACTTAAAATGTAATAGTAGTGTAACTTTTTCAATTACTTTATTAAAGTAATGTAACTGATTACTTTTGATTACTTTTTGATTACTTTTCTAAATTTCTAATGAATGTTTATTTGCAACTGTTTGTTCATGTACTCATATATTGAGGCGGCAGAGGCTGAAAACATCGTAAGCTTCAGTAGGCCTATGTGTAATAAATGAAACCGCATGTCTGCGCCATTAAGTTCCACGAGGGGTGGACTGGGAAAAAAAATTCAGGCCGGGAAATCTCACGCTCATACACCCACAACAAATTCTGAAACATGGACAACCCTATTTTTTGTATGGACCTCACATAAAAAAAGGTTTAAATCCTTAGGATGGGGACATGCAAAATAATTTAAAGTTGTCTCCTGAACTGCACCTTCGCTTCCATTTTTCTTTGAACAGGTTCCACTTCAAAGCGCAGGCGTGTCTCATAGATGGTGCTCTCGCCGAAGTGATGGTGTCGACTACCTCTTCGGGTAGGTCACTCAGAACCTCCGCGTCCCGTCCAGGGACCAGACATGACCACCTTGTCGGTTGATGTACGCAAGGGTCACTGTGTTGTCCGTGCGGACTAGTACATGCTTGGCTCGTAAGCGCCCTTTGAGACGGCTCAGGGCAAGGTGCACTGCCAGCAACTCGAGGCAGTTGATGTGCCAGTGCAGTTGGGGCCCCGTCAGAGGGTATAGAGGGGGTTCTTGGAGCCTTAAGGAACCTGACGACCAGGTCATGCTTCCCCAGCGATCTCCCTTCTATGGGGTCGTGGTTAGCAGCGATTGCAGCGACATAAACTTTAAGGGTGGAGGGAGACAGCCTTCGCTCCAACCCCTGC